TGCTGGGGTGTGCGTGAGTGTTGGGTGTGCGTGCTGGGGTGTGCGTGGGGGGTGAGCAAATGCTCTGCAGTCCTGTGTCGGCTCCCCCGAGGCTCACGTGTCCCCCTGGTCTTGCAGCAGAGCTGGAGTTTGTTGAGATCGCCATCATCGTGGTGGTGGTGATGGTGATGGTGGTGGTGATCACGTGCCTCCTGAGCCACTACAAGCTGTCGGCGCGCTCCTTCATCGGCCGGCACAGCCAGGGCAGGAGGAGAGAAGATGCCCTCTCTTCGGTAAGTGCCCTGCCCCCCGCCCCCCTTCCTGGCCGCACCCTGAGCTCCCAGGGTCAGCGGGATGCCCCTTAGGGAAGCGCCCTGGTGTCCCGGGTTGGGTGCTCACCGGAACGGGAAGGAGGCAGTCGCGGCCACAGGGGATGCGTGGGCATTGGCAAGGCGGTGGACGAGGGCGGTGGAGGTACAGGCCAAGGCGTGATGAGACCTCAGCCCACAGCCCTGGCCCTTGCCTCTCTCCCACAGCCTGCAGGTGTCTGGGCGGGGGACTCTCAGTGTCTTGGACACAACAGGTCACCCTGAAAAGGCCCTTCCCAGCTCTGCTGGGCCTGGCCACGTGCCCTCGGACCAGTCCCCGATCCATGAAATGGGGCTTCACTTGCCATTCATTATGAGAGGGGCTAACGGTCATGCCGCTCCCCAGAGGATTCGCTTAGCACGGAGTCAGCGGCCAGGCATCGAGGGCCACGTGCGAGCACTTCCCTTCACTCAGTCACTCATCCGTCCCTCCATCCAGCACCCACGCGTCCATGCATGCATTCACTGGTCAGACACTTACAGAGCCGAGGGCCTAGAACCCTCCCAGACACTGGGAGGAATGGCCGTGAGCAAGCCCCATGTGGTTGCTGCCTGGGGGTCAGACAGACAGGAGCACCTAAATCAGACGATCTCGAGGGCTCTGAAGGAAACTGAAGTGACTGTCCCCGAGGATGCCAGGGTGCCGTGTTTGGCCAGGACGGTCAGGATGAGCCTCTTAGGCCGAACTCTGAAGGAGGAAGTGATGATGGATGGGTCCAGGCAGGTGAGGACAAACGCTGCGCTGGAAAGGGGTCCTTGCTGCTAACATAACACTGCATTTTGACATGTTATTAGAATTGTGAGCTTCATTGGGCATTCTGAAAACCCAGAATTATCCCCTCCAGACTCCACAAAGTAGGGGCCCGGCAGGGTGGTAACTCGGCTTTTTGCAGCTCTGAGTGCCAGGGTCCCTCACTCCCTGTGCCGTCGGGGCTGAACTATGCCCCGCCCCCCACTCTTCAGCAGGTGGACCCAACGCGGGTGCAGAGTTTGTGCCCAAGGGGTTCCTGCCCCCACACGGGCGATGAGTGATTTAACAAGCTGTCGGAAGGGCAGGCTGGGATTTGCAGGGAGAAGGTGGCACGTGGGTGGCCCCAGGGCTGTGGGCCCGAGCCTGCGAGGACAGCGACAGCGACGAGCAGGGAGGCAGCACCGGGCGTGGCCTCCCGGGTCTGGAGGATGCCCACGCTGGGCGGCGGGGCCCCGAGTCGGGGGCGGAGCCAGGGTGTCTGCACCAGCATCAGGCTGCGGCCGCAGTGCGTTGGTCAGCAGCGTGCCAGGGCTGGGAGCTTCCACTTGGTCCCCCCGACGGGAACACAGCGTGCCCCGAGCCTGGGGCTCAGCGTGGGTCCGGAGGGCACTCGGCGCTGCCACCCTGAAGGCATCTGCTGCCCCCTAGGCCAAGGCTCACGTGTGTTAGTTTGCGGTGGCTGTCACCCACGTGCCTACGCCGTCTGCTCTTCCCTCGCCCTGGGGCCTCCCAGCTCACAGCAGTCCAGAAACGCCACCCCACAGGGGAGAGACTGCCGCCCAGACAGGTGGGCCCGTTTGCCCCAAGGCCGGCAGCTTGTGAGGGGCCCTTTGCAGAGCCCAGGCCCATCCGTGCTGCCTCAGGTGCTGCGGCAAGGGGCGGCCCACACCCAGGGTGGGCCACCTGGCCCCTCTGAGCCTTAGTCTGTCAGGTGGGTGGAGGTAGCCTTTCTGCCGCCTCCCCCATATGTGTGGTCACAGGCAGGATGATGCTGGCCCAGAGGGCTGGGGAGATGTCCAAAGTTCCAGCGTGAGGGATCCTGGCTGCCGACGGGGCCAAGGAGACAGCTCTGTGGGCAGCACCTGGGACTTGATGCCCAGACGGGGGGTCTGATTCCAGCCCCGGTTCCTGGACACCTGAAGCCAAAGGAAAGTCCCCGCCCGCATCTACCCAGCCACCTGCAGGGGCCTCTGGGAATGCCCGGCTGGGTAAACACAGAGCCTTGTTAGGCCTGAAGTAAGTGTGGCAGTTCTCTTGGGGACCCCCCGCCAGACAGGGTGCGACGGAAGCCTCTCAGGACCCCGTGACCTCCCACGGAGATCCAGACCTGGCCACTGCCTGGGGCTGGGCCTGCCCCTCGCATGACTGTCCTGCTCCGGTTCCTTTTCAGGGTGACCCCATTTGCTCATCTGTCAGAGAATGAGGCTCAAGTGCAGGTACGCCACTGGCCCTAGAATGTCACCCCCTCCCCCCGCCCCATGCTGTTCCCAGGGAAGCCACTCTGTGTTGCATAATGGTAACCGCAGTGGTGATCTAGCCACCATGGTGGCACAGAAGCTGGGTCCGAAGGGGCTTGTCCTGGGGTTGGCAGGGGAGGGGAGTGTTACTTGTAAGGCGGGTACTGTTCCACCTGAGTGCACAGGTGCCGCCCAGCCCCACCCAGGAAGCCTCCTGCTCATTTCTGAGCTGTTCCTGTGTCCCTGAGCTTTGCTTTCAAACATTCCCTGCTCTGAATTCCTTGCCTTAGCAGCTTTAATTTTTCCCCCAAAGTTTATGCATCTTGAACAGCAATGACCACTTCACCCATAGCTCTCTTGGAAGATGGTTTGTGTGTGAGGCCTGCTCAGCGTGGGTCAGGGATAGATTTGGACTAGAGGCTCAGCCAGAGCCTTGGATGGGGCAACCCTTTCTTCTCTTTGTCCCCAAATCAGTCCTGGCATGAGTCTTCCGCTTCCCACATGGCTTCTGTGGGCACAAGTCTTCTAAATCGGGCACAGGGTAGCCAGCTGGACCTTCGATTACTATACAACAGGCCAGGCCCATGCCGGAGCTGAGGTGCTATGAGAGCCTGGGAGGCAGGGTGGCAGTGGGTGATTCCTGGAGGGCTCCCTGGAGGAGGAAGTGACTTCCAGGTACACAAGTTGGAGGTAGATGACGAGGCTGGTGGGTAGTTTTGGGTGCCCTATGGTGGGGCTTCTGGGGCATTGATTGGTGTTATCTAAAGCTTCCTGGGTGGTGACAGGTAGATAACCCATCTGTTAGGGCTGGGAGTGGGGGCAGTGTTAGGAAGAAGTTGTTGGCCACATCATGCAGAGCCTGAGACAGAGGGACTTGTAGGAAGGTTTTAGGCAGGAGTTTATCTGGGTCACACTTCATCCAAGCTGGCCTTGGCTGCGTGCATCCCACCCCAGGGCTCCTGACCCTAGTGAGGAGCAAGTGGATGTCCCCATCTGCTTCCTGGCCCACACATGGACTGTGCCAGTGGCCCGACTGGGGGCTACAGAGCCTGTCAGGGCCAGCCTGAGCCCAAGTAGGTCTGGAGGCAGGCAGGTGAGGATTTGAATCCCAGCACTGCGTCTTACCAGCTTGGCCCACTCAGCTCTCAGCTAACCGACCTCAGCCTGCCTCGTAGGTTTCTTGGGAGAAATGAGGTAGTGCTTTAAAGAGTGCTTAGTGCAGTGTCTGGCACCGAGGCAGCGATTGATACATTACTAATACCAGTAATGAAACAGCTTTTGATGGCCACATGAGCAGTAAGGTTGTATGTGGGCTTTCTGCATCCAAACACCTGGAACATCCTAGAGACTGCGGTGAGTCTGTGTGGGGTAAGTGCGTGCTTTCCTGGTGGGACAGTTTTGAGAACCACGGAGCCCCCTAGTGGCCTTTCAGGTAACTGCAGTTCTCTGGGCAACACGTGCCACCCTCCCCTCCCCCCGCCCCGCCCCATTCACCTTCTGGCCCCAGACAGTAGGTGAGACTGTCTTACCTGTGAACTCTCAAGAAAACGTGCCCCCAGGGAAACTTTTGGGGTGATAGAGATGTTATTTTGATTGTCGCGATGGGTCTCTGGTGTAGACACATGCCTAAACTTAACCAAATTGCGTACTTCGAATATGTAGCTTATTGTATCTCAGTTACACCCATGGAAAGCCGTAAAATTTAAAAAAGACATCCCTCCCCCCAGGCCCGGGGCGATCTGCCACCACATAACCCACATTGTCTGGGCTTCCCTCTCAGACAAACTGATCCTGGTGTGGGGTCCCACTTCCCTGACCCTTGGGTCTCTCCCCAAGGCCTGAAATCCCCCACCCCGAGCCCGTGCGGCCCGGCCACCCGTGCAGGGAGCCGCAGGCCCTGCCTGGCATCTCAGCAGAGGGTGTAAGCTTCATGAGGCGACAGCAACAGGCCTGACACAGCCGTCGTGGCTCATGCACCTTTGTGGACTGATGGAGTCATTATTTGGGGGCCCTCTGCTTATTAACCAACCTTGTCCAGTTCACCTATGAACTGGGCTCCTGATACACATGTTGAGACAGGCTGTAAAGAGGTAAATAAATACAGAGACAAGTTGATTGCAGATAAGAGCGCTGCTGGGAAGGAAAGTCGCCTACGACAGGATTGTTACTGGGGGAGGCCCTTTAGACGGTGGCGTCAGAGGAAGTCTGTGGAGCTGGCCGTGCAGCCGGGCCGCCGGGCAAAGGCCCTCAGGTGTGTGCATAGCACTTTGCATGAGAGAGCGGGTCTGCATGGCCCCCAGCACTTGGATATAGTCACAGAGGGCCACGTGCACTCCAGGCATATTCTGCCTCGGGAAGTTAAGTACCTTGCCAAGGTCACCACTGCAAGCAAGTGGGCCAGGCCAAGGCCAGGAGGGCTAGATCACGTCGGGCTTCCTCATCAGCCATTTCACGAGATAATTTGATTCATTCTAAGATGCAGGAGAAGCTGCTGGAGGGTTTTGAGAAGGAGGGTCCCACAAATCAGATGTCTGCTTTGGAAAGTGTGAGAGTGGGGGGTGAATTTTCAAGGCACAGCGCAGAGAACCGAGAGATCAGTGACAAGGCGGTTGTGGTCCTATCTGAGAAAATGGCCGGGCCCAGGCCAGGGTAGCAGGGTGGGGCTGGAGAGGAGGGGATGGTTGCCAGATCTGATTCCAAATACAAGACCTCAGGGTCAAAGCCAGTTGACCCTTTGTGCTCCCACATCTGTTCCTCCCGCTGACCCTGCCCCTCTCCTCCCCACACAGGAAGGATGCCTCTGGCCCTCGGAGAGCACAGTGTCAGGCAACGGCATCCCAGAGGTGAGACCCTGCTCTGCCTCCAGTCCCCTCCCTGCCTGCCCCCCGAGGTGCTGTAGTGGACACCTAAGGCCATCTGCCCAGTGGGTCCCCTTTCCAAGCCAGAGGCGCCTCCCTTGGGTGTAAAAGTGTGGCCGCTAGGCTCACACCCGTGCCCTTTGCTGAAGAGTTGTCCTTGGCTGCTGGGATCATCCCCCCGCGGACGTTACCAACGCTCCCTGCCCCCAGCGAGTGGCCCACAGTGTCTGCAACGTGGGAGAGCCGAAGTTGCCCCTATTTCAGCTCCGTGGTGATGTTCCTAGCCAGGGCTCCCCGGCGTCCGGCCGAGGCTGGATTCCGGGCTCGGCGCTGCCCGCTGCTGCGTGCTCTCCCTTCCCCAGAAAGCAGAGCGTCCGCAGCCAGCTGGACACCCCCCTCCCCCCCCACCTCGGGTCCTGCTTCTGGGAGGGGATTCCTCACTCTGCTCTGCCCCCTCCAGCCGCAGGTCTATGCCCCTCCGAGGCCCACCGACCGTCTGGCCGTACCCCCCTTCACCCAGCGGGACCGCTTCCATCGCTTCCAGCCCACGTACCCGTACCTGCAGCATGAGATCGACCTGCCGCCCACCATCTCGCTGTCGGACGGGGAGGAGCCCCCGCCCTACCAGGGCCCCTGCACCCTCCAGCTGCGGGACCCCGAGCAGCAGCTGGAGCTGAACCGCGAGTCCGTGCGTGCCCCCCCGAACAGAACCATCTTCGACAGCGACCTGATGGACAGCGCCATGGTGGGCGGCCCCTGCCCCCCCAGCAGTCACTCGGGCATCAGCGCCACGTGCTACGGGGGTGGCGGGCGCATGGAGGGGCCGCCTCCCACCTACAGCGAGGTCATCGGGCACTACCCTGGGTCCCCCTCCTTCCAGCACCAGCAGAGCAGCGGGCCGCCCTCCTTGCTGGAGGGGACCCGGCTCCACCACGCACACATCGCCCCCCTGGAGAGCACAGCTGCCTGGAGCAAAGAGAAGGATAAACAGAAAGGTCACCCTCTCTAGGAATGCCGGGGCCCGGGGCCGGGGCCGGGGCAGCAGGAGGTAAAAGGCGAAACACTCCGCACTTCTTGAACGAGAAGACAGAGGAGGACTGGGCGGCACCCACAACATTCGGCGCGTCACCATCCCCTCCCCCTCTCTCTGTGTATAAATATTTACATGTTCTGTCTGGTCTGAATGCACAAGCTAAGAAAGCTTGCAAAAAATCACGTTTCTTTGTTGAGCTGTGTCTTGAAGGCAAAAGAGAAAAAAAAAAA